ATGGGAGTCTACTCCTTGGGCTTTCTCTCATGGTGTGCTGAGTTTGATTTAAAATCCCTGTGAGCTGACCTATTACTGTGATATTGATTTCTTAATTCTTCAGATGAATCGAGGGTGATGCTTCCCTCTAAATTTGTTATCCTATGAAATTTCATGATTTCTCTCTAGAGAAGTTTGCACAACTATTATGCTTGATATTAAAGACTGTATTTGGGCTCTCTTCGGTGTGTGTTGTTTCTTTGTCCCTAATTAAGTTAGCATAACAATCCCCAGTTGAAGTCTCAGCGATGTGGTTTTTCATCTTTCCTAGCAAGTTCTGTATTGACATCCCCAGTTGAAGTCTTGACAATGTGGTTTTCACTTTCCCTAGTGAAGTTAGTTTTAGAATCTCCAGGTAAAATCCAGACGATGAAGCATTGTATTCCCCAGTCGAAGCCTGTATGACATTCCCGAGTGAAACATAGAGGATTTTATTGTATCCCCACAACTCTATTTATTGTTAGTTAGGTGGTTCTTTGATTGTTTTCAACCCATGTTCTTCCGATTGAAGTTAAGCTATGAAATAGGACCGTGTTTCCTCAGTTGATGCTTATTCTACTATGGAACCTTCATCCCGGGTGTGACTTGGCCGAGTGTTGTCTTCACCCAATTTAGCTTTATCTGGTTATCCCCAATGCATTATGGTTATTTTGTCAGCATATACGATAAACATTTATACATTCATACACATCATGCATGGATGAATTTAAAATTCATTACTCATTTGCATTCATTGATGTTTTGTCAGCATATTATCATCTTTGCAGAGTTATGTTACTCTCTCTCCAATAGAGTTGTCAACTTTGAACAGAAATAGTATATCCTATCATATTCCCCACTGAGTTATCCCTCGTGGAAGAATTTTACTTTATCCTTCCTTTTAGGCTCATTATCTGGACAGTAAGTGATCCCCTTTTGAGTTTATTTCTCATTAGGAGCTGTCTTGGTTGACTGTTTCGTTCTGGTTTATTTATGGTTTGAATCTATGGTCCCCGACAATATTATTATTCTGACTTTTGTAGGCTTCGAGCCTTGGTTTGAGAATGTGCATTTATTTTGCACGCGGAGATTTTTTTTTCTCTCCTCAACACGAATGTATTAGTATTTCCCCAGGAAATCAAGCTTCATTTCCCGCCAGTGTTGTTACAATTCCTTCTTAAACAACAAGCGACAGGTCTCTTTATTTGAGAAACATGTTCTTCCCAGTAAGTCTATTAATTCCAGAGAAGATGTTTTATTCCAATGAATGGTAGTCTCTTCGTTATGGGAGATAGTTCATTGATGAAGATTTTTACTCCAATGAATGGTAGTCTCGTCATTATGGGAGATAGTTCATTATTGAGATTTGTTGTACTTCAATGATAAAGATAGTTCATTGAAAGATTCTTACAGCATTTTTTTACCCTTTCCAGGTGAAATATCTTGGTTAAAGAAGAAATTGAGACCAGTTCATGGCTTATAGTCAGGATTGAGGGGAGGTTTATCTAATTCTCTATCAAATGGTATCTCTTCGAGGAAGTTTCTTGAGAGGAGTTTATTGAGAAATCTTTACAAGTGGTAGTCTCTTTATTTGAGATAGCTTCTATTTTTACCCTTTTCAGGTGAAACATCTTGGTTAAAGAAGAAACTGAGACCAGATCGTGGCTTATAGTTAGGATCGAGGGGAGGTTTATCTAATTCTCCATCAAATGGTATCTCTTCGAGGAAGTTTCGCAAGAGAAGTTTGTTGTGAAATCATAGCAAGTGGTAGTCTCTTTATTTGAGATAGCTTGTATTTTTACCCTTTCCAGGTGAAATATCTTGGTTAAAGAAGAAACTGAGACCAATTTGTGGCTTATAGTCAGCATCGAGGGGAGGTTTATCTGATTCTCTATCAAATGGTATCTCTTCGAGAAAGTTTCACAAGAAGAGTTTGTTGAGAAATATTTACAAGTGGTAGTCTCTTTATTTGAGATAGCTTGTATTTTTACACTTTTTAGGTGAAGCATCTTGATTAAAGAAGAAACTGAGACCAATTTGTGGCTTATAGTCAGGATCGAGGGGAGGTTTATCTGATTCTCCATTAAATGGTATCTCTTTGAGGAAGTTTCGCAAGAGGAATTTGTTGAGAAATCTTTACAAGTGGTAGTCTCTTTATTTGAGATAGCTTGTATTTTTACCATTTTCAGGTGAAACATCTTGATTAAAGAAGAAACTAAGACCAGTTCGTGGCTTATAGTCAAGATCGAGGGGAGGTTTATCTGATTATCTATCAATTGGTATCTCTTCAAGGATGTTTTGCAAGATAAGTTTGATGTGACATCATTGCAAGTGATAGTCTCTTTATTTGATATAGCTTGTATTTTTACTCGTTCTAGGTAGAATGCCAGAATATTGGGAAACTCATTATTGTTCTTTGGGACCTCACCTTCAGTAAAAGCTGGTGTATCCTCTTTTTCTTCATACCTTTAGTAAAATTTGGTAGTTCACCTTCAGTAAAAGCTGGTGTTATTCTTTTCTCCCTACCTTCAGTAAAAGTCGATAGCTCACCTTCAGTAAAAGCTGGTGTTATTCTTTTCACCCTACCTTCAGTAAAAGTCAGTAGTTCACCTTCAGCAAAAGTTGGTGTTATTCTTTAATCTCTACCTTCAATGGAAGTTGGTAGCTCACCTTCAGTAAAAGTTGGTGCATATTTCATATCTTTACCTTCAGCGGAAGTCGGTAGTTCACCTTCAGTAAACGTCAGTGTATCTTATATTTCTTTACCTTCAATAAAAGTCAGTACTGTCCTATGTTTTTTCTACCTTCATCCTCGAGTGGGTAGTTCATTACCATTCTTAGGAAAGATTTATCTCTTTCTCCTCATTGGACCTTACTCCGATTGAGTTGAGGTGTTTCCAACCATAGGTGCTGATGCCAAATCTTTGATTACCAAGCATAAATACTGATACCAATCATTCACTTACTATTCTAGGCGTTGATGTTTATCGTCATCTCTGAGCTGGTATTATCTTTACCATTTCTGTTTGCACCCTTCTGTTTAGCAGTTGTCGATCCCCTGTGTTTTATGTTACTCTCTTTTTGCTATCTCCTCTATGAGTGGATGGTTCACAATTATCGGTTAATTGTTTTTATCCATTAATTTTTTCTCGTTTTGTTGAGTTGATGTTATTTGGTCTTTTCTCTAGACCTTACCCCAGTAAAGTTGAGTCTTATTTTCCCCAGCGGAGTCAATTTGTCTCCAGTGGATTCAATATTCTATCCCCAGAAACGTGTTATTCCTCATAGATTTATTTTCCTGGTCGACTTCTCTTTGTTAAATCTGTTGATTTTATTTTCATTTCTCCAGTGTGTCTTATTCACTTGAATGAAGTTTATATTTTACATCCATTATCATAAGCATCGCATGGCATCTTAGGGCCAAAAATAGGGCTTGTTTTGTATTTAAGTATGTTCAATCGCGTCGAAAAGAAGATTTTAACCTTCGTATCTCCGGATAAAAGACACTTAAATAAAGGCAGCTGTTATACCCTAATTTTTGCCCCTAAGATCCCTCATCATACTATGTACATCTCATACATATCATTGATTCCATGGTTACAGGATCAAAGAGCTTCGGCATTAGGGTTCCTCTATATGGATAAGGTTACTATCTTACCCAAAGTTGATTCAACTAGAGCTCTTATCATTCTTGTTATGAGATTAGGGTTTTGGATCTCAAGCAGCATAGACGTCTCCACTAGCAGGGTTCCTAGAGATATAAGGTTTTCTTCATCAGAGTTTCTTCAAGGAACAAAGGAATTAAGGTTTAACTCAGCCAGAGAAATCAGGATTTCTTTTCATTTTGTTCGAGTCTGGTAGTGGTTCTTCTATAGAGGTTATTGGATTAAATTATCACTTCAAGGCTATGTTGAGCACTAATCTTCCCTTATTGAAGCGATTTAGGATTGCTTTAAGCTTTTATCAATTCCAGATATGTCTTGTTGGTTAAGATATGGATTAGGAGGCTCATTTATCTCATTTTATCAAATGGAAGTTGGCTGCTTCAAATGCAAGATGACGTGAATCTATGGATCCAATTGAGATTAAGGTGCATTGACTAAACATGGCATAGGAGTATACTGAATTCAGTTTTTTTACTGAATGTTGATTCAAAAGATCATATGTGTTATACATTCCATTGTCAAATAATCAAGAGGCACAATTCCCTTTGGAGAAAGATAAATTACATTCTGATATTACAAGCTTGTCATAACTGAAAATGGATTTGACCTCTAGACTGGAGGAATGGGAATGTAGAGGCAATTTAATTGAAAATAAGTTGAGACAATATGAAGCTGAAAATTTGGAGCAAAATAAGTTGTATGTTGCATGACTATTGGTAATACAAAGTGAAATAAGTTCTTTAAAGGAAGAACTTCGTCAGAGAAGGGGGAAGCAATACGGCAACTGTGCTTCTCGCTTGAATACTATAAGAATAGATATGAAGAATTTCTTTAAGTTTTTACTGGTCATAAATGCCATACTGTCATAGCCTCCTAAAGTTACATTGAGAAATCCTAAAGTTGTGTTCAATAGTAGTCTCATCATTTGATATTGTTCTGTAGATCTTTGTGGATTATCAGTTTTCCATGTCCTTTTCTTATTCGTGTTATGCAGCCAAATGAAATATACTTGATGGGTTGTGTACTATTTCTTTCTTCTTTGGGTGCATTGATATTTCCATATTGCTAAAAGTTTGCACTTGGTGATTAATTCAAGTCTACATATCATTATGTTTATCTTTGTTCAAGGCTAGTGTCCACTATTCAAAGAAAAAACCATTACAAAGATTCCAAAGGCCATTACAAATTATGTCCAAATATCCATTCAAGCTTCAAAGTACAGTCCATTACAGGAAGAAAAAGTGTAAAGAAAAACTACTACAGAACCTAATTATAGTTTCCAAGTTGTTTAACTCCAAGATTTACTTGAGTCTAAGCTTAGCGCCATGTCCAAGATTCAAATCTTGCATCAAAATGGAAGCAAACTTGTTGCTGCCCAGATTCGCATTGCCCTGCATATATGCCTAAAACCATATCAGTTTCACTACAAAAAATAGAAAATGCTTCAAAATAGTTCAGGCTTTCAAAACTAAAAAAAAATTAAAGAAGATGTAGTCACCAAGCAGAACTTCTAGCAGCATATCGGTTCTTAATATTAGCAGAGGATTTAGAACCAATAATTTCTAATAGATTCCTAGCTGAATCTGGTTTGTTGAAACTGATTCCCCAGTCCACAATTATCTTCAGCCATTCCATATTCATAAACACAATAAACAGCTCAGTTCAACAGTCTACAAGTTTACTCAGAAAAATAGTTTAACATCCTGCATTAAATAACCTAACCAAAAAAATCAACAACAACAGATTTCTCTAACCAACTCACTCTCAAAACAGATTTCAACAAACTTCTTAACGGAAAACAGAAAATAACTTCTAACTGCATTTGCCTAACAACCTAGTACAAACTCATAACTGATTTCTAACCACCTAAGCTCTTCCCTCCATCTCATAACAAACTCTCTAAAATCTAACAACTAGGAGCTTCTCATTTCAACATATATAACCGAATCGTAACAGAATTATCAAAAAAAATTCATAATTCACAAGAGAAAAAAGATACAAAGGATAGGGGGAGGCTCTACCTATCAGCACTTTTTGTTGAACCTTCATTTGTTCATCTGTAACCTTCACTCTCTCTTCCACGCTTCAACCTTTAACATCATAACCATAAACTTTCTTCTCTCTTTTTCTACATCAACCTTGATTCAATCATTATCATTCAGCAATCATCTTCATCCCTTAATTCCTCCTACTCTTTTCCATCTCCAACCTTCCGCGTCTGCATCAATATCAACACATCTCATCATCTTCAAATCTTCAATCACCATCAACAATTCTGCTTCTCTGCATCATCGCCGAGCTTCGTAGCTACAAATTCACAACTACAGACTCGAAGAATACAGGGGAAGAAAACGAAATTCAAACAAAGAATCGAGTATAATATGTATACCTGAGCCAGGATTTGGAGATCACAGTGTTTCTAGTTCTCTTTATCTGCTTCGAATAGCCGCTAGAGCTACTCCGATGGGTAAGCATCGAATCACTCCTCTCTTCACCTTTTAGTGTCTTCCTCGTTGCCATGTAGTGCACCTTAGTTTGCTGAGTAGAATCCCTAAGGTTTCAGTATGAGGCAGATTATCGTCATCCTTTAGTTTCACGTCAAAGGTTTTTAGGGTTTTCTCCTTGGCATATAGATTTAGGAGAATTAAGTGAAGTTTGAAACAAAAGGATGGTGGATTCAGGTGGTAGTTGAAATAGAGGGATGGGACGGTGGAGTATGGCGATTCACGATGTTTTTTTGGTCAGAGAATAATTGAGATGAACGGGGTCGATTTGGGATGAAAAGAGAGAGAAGATGATGATCGTGATACTGAGATAAGAGAAAGGCAATTGGGATCGAATTGTAACAGCGGTTGTTCAGAGAGAATAAGAGTTACGTTGTTCAATTGAAGAAGAAGAATAGTTGAAATTGGGCCGTCACTTCCCTTGTACCCTAATCTCTTTCCCCTTTTTACAGTAAATTTTGTAACCCTTTTTTTAATTCAATAACAAAAACGCAAAAGGGGCATGACTTGTTGGGATTTAGCCACGTCCATACGCTCATCAGGCCCGCGTGTTACTGTTTTTTGTGGCATGCTGGAAGTTTGGGTAACAAAAAATGGATATGGATATGATGAGTGGACCGAAACACTGTCCCCCAAGCCCATCATTGGAATTTTTTTATCATATGAAAAAAAACAATTCTTATGGATCTATTCAGATTGGGCTTAACACCAATTTATCTGCCTGCAGCACCATGGATCCAGTTTAACACCCCTGGCTCTTTCTAATTCATTGTTCTTTTAAATTTTGTTTTTTTTTAGTTTAGTTTAAATTTCTTTTTTTATATAACAAAAAAATAATAAATAAAATACATATAATAAAAACAATAAATAATGTAGATCTTAGGAATGCATCTTATCATTTTTTAGGTAATAAACTACAAAAAAAATCAATAAAGTTTGTTAGATTTCTCATTTGACTTTTAGGAAATTAGTTCCTAATTTTTCGATTATTTGAGATTTGTGATTCACCTTTGCTTGTCGAGTTGAGTCTTATGCGGGTTCATTATTTGATATGCGTATGTGTTTGGATTCCGATTGTGATTTATTTTCACATCGATGAAGCTTCAACACATTTTCCGAATATTCGATTTCTAACTGTTTGTTTGTTGCTTCCAGCTCGCGCGAAGTATTCCGGGTTTCCTTGCTTTGGTTGCAATTTTTGCGGATATTATTGTTTGTTTGCTATTATACTGCTTCCAATTTATTTTTCCGCATTTTATTGCTTTTTAGATATCATGAGAAGTAGGAAATAAATAGCGTGCACTCAAAGTCGTTGTTTAAAGACCTGTAGTAGACATTCCGCACTACATTTGTTATATGTGTCGCGCTTGTGTTTGTTTACTTGGTTGTTGATTGATGTCACTAAATTTAGAAATTGAGATCACGACTTTGCTCTCAGTGCATGCTCCCTATAGGATTTTATCGCTTTCCTTTATTTCTTGTTGATCAATGAGTCACTCAATTTAGAAATTGAGATCACGACTTCGCTTTCATTGTATGTCCCATATAGGATAGTTTGTTAGACTTTCTTTGGCATGCTAACCTAGGTAGGATCTCTCTAGGTATGCTCTCTTGAGCTTGTTGGCCTGCTTGCTTGATTTCGTCTTTGTGTGCATTTTTTTAGATGATAGACCCTTTCTATGCTCCTTTAGTACTTCTTGATTCATCTATAGATGGTGAGTTGAGATAGAGATTAGGACTGTATCCAAGCATGTCAACTTAAGGTAGAGATTTCCCTTTAAAGATCAACTTTAGGATCAATCATTGTATAATAACATTAGAGATATAATTAGGTCAGTCTCCCTTTATACTTTTCTTTCCCCTTTTGCATAATTGCATTTAAAACTGAAACTTCTTTTTCTTGGAAAATGTATAAAAAATGCTAAGCATAACAAAAATTCTTTTCATGGTAAAAAATATCAACCAATCCATTTCTCTTTGCCATTCGACTTTTCTCTTCTAAGAGCATGTTAGTTCCTTTCCACTACAGGTCGTAAGTCTCCAAATGTCGAGCGCCAGTGGAATGATCGAATTCAATATTGTTCATTTAAAAAATACAAAAAAAAAATATGTGAGCCGAACTACGGCACTCTGATTCCTTAAAAGGGATACGTAGGTATTGGGGTAGGGCCCGAACGAGCACTACTTTTATTTTCCCTACATTATTTACCGTTTTCTTTGCATGGATTCCCTCTTAGTTTATAACTCTTAAGCATTAGATTGAATACACCCTTTGATTAGAACAACAAGAGTGGATCCCGTAGAGTACTACGGACGTGTGGGGTGCTAATACCTTCCCCTTGCATAATCGACTCCCTTACCCAATCTCTCAGTCGCAAGACCTTGATTTCCCCTTTAGGTTTTTCTTCGATGATTTCCCTTTCCCTTTTGTGGGATAAATAAATATTCGGTGGCAACTTCATTTATTTTACCGCTACAAAATGTCTTTCCTGTTCTTTTCACCTTTCCTAAATATTGGATAAAAGAAAAGCCGGTGGCAACTCTAGATATTCGCACATTTAGATAAAACCAAAAAGTAAGTTCTTCCACCATATTACACAATGGCTTTAGGATTTCAAAATATGGACCGAAGCAGAACAACCCCATTTATGCTCACTTTTTCACTATCTTCTTCCTCCATTAACACCTACGATAACTCCACCCACTCGCATAACCCTCCATAACTTCCAGAACCTTTCAATCTCCCCATTATTTATCCAACTGCCATCTATAAAATAACCCTTTTTTTCATTAAAAAAATTCACAAACTCTTCATTCTTCCAAAAAGACCAAAACTTTTTAGCAACACTATCAAAACCTTCAATTTCTACAACAATGGCATAAGGAAATATGAAGATGATTTTTCGAGAGGGGACTGCTGGAAACAGACAGAGGAGTAAGTGTTTATCACTGTCAAACAGAGACATTCTCTCCACGAGGTATTCCGATGACTCTTGTATTCTTACTTTGGGGATTTATAATGATGTTTATTATCTGGTAGACAACTTAGGATTGCACAGTCTGTTTGAACGATGAGATTTTATCTATGAGCATTTAACCCGTAAATTTCTAAGTTTACTCATTTACAAGGTTAGGCCTGAGTCTGCAAGTACCGTAGGCAACGTCAATTTCCATATGTTTAACATAAAATATGAATACACTATTGACCAAATTGCGGTATTGTTGGATTTTCCCTTCGGGGAAGGGATACCTTGTGAAGCTCCACTTGAATCTGAGTGGAGAAATGATGCTTATTTGTTTTGGAGAGATATTACAGGTGTTGTGACTAATTCCTTTGATGAAAACCATGCTTCTACGATAGATAACCCAGCCACCCTCTATTTTTCGCCAAGTGTTGGCAGATATAATTTTTGGCCGAGAAAACACTAACAAAACAAATGTCAGAGAGATGTTTTATTTGAAAGCTTCCCTTACATGGAGACAAGTAAATTTAGACCATTTTATGATATCACATATGCACGCCAATAGAAGATGAACTATCTCTTTTGGAGGCTTGATTACCTCATTCGTGCTTTAGGCCTTGATGCACAACTTGCTAACTTAGAACCTCTGCCACCCCGCACTCTTGGTACTGATTGTGTTTGACACATGCATTTTTATAGAAACCGGAAGGAGGGTAGACATCACCTTATGGTTCATATGAGGCTGTTTAGAGTATTGTTTTACCATGGCCTTTACGTACTAACGTACTAGAAGGGCCAAATGGAATTATGATTTAGATGCTCCCTCATTTACCAGCATATTACCCACATCAATTCCTGCTAATATGGAATTAGGTGATGACATTGATGAAGAGATTAATAGGAAAGATCATGTTTCACCCGTTCCTAATTCTCCACCACCTTATTTTTCAGAAGCACACACTGCACCACATGTTTCTGACCATTTTACAGGTACTACCTCGGGACACGGGACCCAGGCTGGAGAAATCCCCCAAGATGAGCATTACTACATGTTATATAGGAATAAACAAGATATGATGGTATTTATGCAAGAGTTGCATGCTGTAATACAGTGGGAGAACTGACTTGGTTTTAAGTTTTATCTAAATATTGCGGATAGAAAGAGTCGACACCGACTTTTCTTTTATCCAATAACGAAAGGGTGAAAATAACAGGAAAGACCTCGATAGATTTTGAGTTTGGGGATAGATTATGAAAAGGGAAGGTGTTAGCATCCTTTTCATCCGTAGTTATCTACGGGCTCTTAATCGCTTAGCTCACTTTTTGAAAATTTCTTTGTGTTGTGTGTTTGAAAATATTTTTAAATGTCAATGTAAGGAGAAACTTTGTAATGATTTTCGTAGCGTTCCTCGAGAATGCACACAAAGTGTTTTGAAAATATCTTTGAAAGTGTTTGTGTGAAAAATTTTTGTTTTTGTGAGCAAGCAATTAAGATTTTCTACCCATTCAAGGTCGTTTGTGTAATTTAACTCTTCCTTTAGATAGTGTTATCCGTACCTGTGATCGGTGGATCTGGAACTGACTGTTTAACGCTGGTTCGCGAAATGTCGCGGAAGCAAGAGTCGCCACCGTCTTTTATTTTCTCCAAATGGAAAGGACAAAAGCACAAAAAAATTCCTTATAGAGATTGCTCTCGGTTCGGGAGGTAGGTTATAGAAAGGGAAGGTGTTAGCACCCTTTCTATCCATGGTTATCCATGGGCTCTTAGATACCTGCTCATTGTGTTTTCAAAAATGGTTTGTTTGCTTTTCAACTGTGGGTTTTAAAAAGTTTCTTTGAAAATTTCAGTTCGACTCTTGTATCGGTCCTCAAGAGTGTTTGAAAAATTGCTTTCGAAAGCTTTTTGAAAAGGTGTCGGTGTGAAAAGTATTTTTGAATTTGTTTTTGAAATTAGAGCAAGTATCTAGAGTCGTCTACCTACCCTAAGGAATTCGTCTGTGTAAATGTC